TCACTTAACCACACTCTCTTCGGGTTCAAGAAACAACACAATCTCATCCAAAAACATGCACTCTTGCAATCAGCGACACACTAAACCAACCCTCCACACCTGAAACATCTCAGAGAAGTAGAAGCTTCCCTCATTTGTTTGAATTCCACTCCTACTGACAAACGGTTAGAAAAACAAATGAGCACCGACGGTGTTTCAGACACATGTAGCATAGCAGGGAACAAATAACATTGCAGAAAAGTTGGATGGATAAAACGATCTGCTCTGATACTACTATGTAACACCATAAACCCCTAAACTTATATAAAAATAATTACTCGACATTTTAAGGATGTTACTCTCAAACAACATGCATATTTAAATCAAAACACTCATAGTAGAATTTCAAATTAATAATTCATAAACTTCAAATATCTTAACAGGTCTAAATAAGAAATAGATATCATCATCCAATAATTAACTCAATAATAAAACAAAACAAGATGCTTCGTTCCCGATGTTACAAATCATATTATTTAACCAACTAAAATGATGAACAATAAAGTAAATAAAGATGAGCTCAAAGGCTATCTTCCAACTCACAGTAGCTACTACTAATGTTCCTAAATATTTGTATACATCGTACATCAACACACAAACAAAACAATAAAGGGGTGAGAATACGCTCAAATATGTTAGCGATGCAAAAGATCAGGATGGGTAGCCTAAACAACAATAACAACAATCATCAATAGGCAATGTATTTAAGAAATAATCATCAATTCACAAATGCCAACTTGTATGCAATATGACAACACTCGATTCTATATGCATTGGTACCTACTCAACAATATTTCGTCATATGAACTGGGTCCCAACATATGAACCTCGAGCCTTAACACCTGAGCTCCAAACTCCAACATCTGAGCTTGGGACAAGTCACTAATTCCAACGTCTGAACTCGTGACTCGCCTCTTTCACAACAACGACAATATATGATGAATGACATATAATAATCTAACAATAACATAACAACGATTACAACCCCACATCTGACTGCAAACAATCATGCATCTAAACACATCAACAGTAGTTCACACATCGAATAAACATCCATATAATACTCAATAATGTGAATTCATGTTCATCGCTTCATCATTTAGTTCATTCATTTACAATAATTAACTGATTATTCGTTACCGTAAACTATTATGTAACAAGTAAAACAATTTATTTTCATAAATTCTAGAACTTATCTAATCTCTTAATACATCACTATTGGATAGTCATAAACGTTAAATTTCTAACGCTTCAAACTACACCACATTTAGATTTACGAAACTAAAGTTATGGCAAAAACAACCAGATAAAATAATAGGTTTCAACTGAACAACTTTTCAAATTTTAACTAGCATCAATCGATTGATAGGGACCATCAATCAATTGATATGATTCCTCATTACATTCTATTTTTCTTATTTTTCACTTGTTGGCTAAGAGAGATCCGTTTTTCCTTTAAAAAATTTCAATTTTTCACATGATCAATCATTTGACATCAGGGGTCAATCGATTGACATCAGCCAAAATTTTAAAAATCCTAGTTTAAAAAAAGTCCACTTCACCTCCTCTAATGCCTAACCCTCATACATCATATCAGTTCATATTGTAACATCTAAACACATCATATCACAAATTTAACAACACGAATCAATTTCATAACAATTAATCATGTCATAACACATAGATCAAATCATGAGTCACAACAATTGAAGAGATAATTTACACCAATTTTATCAAGAACACATGAACACATTAACAATTGTGAAATACAAGAAAAAAACCTAGAAGAGGGTGAGGATCCCTCTCTACCCTTCATATAATATACACCCATAGAAAAGTAATCTCCCTATTACCTTAGATTTCCAGCAAACCAAGTTCTAAACTCAACAATGGTGTTTTCTTCCCAAATCCTAGGTTGCCTCTCTGGCCTCTTTTCTCTTATTCCAAAATAACACTTACTTAAAAGTTCCAACCATCACCTTTTTCTATTTAAACCAAAACCTAATTCCCCTTAATTAGGTTATCCTCTTATTACCCTCAACTTTCTTATTCTCTATCTTGCTCTTACTCCTCTTATTAGCTTCAACTTCATGTATTTTAATTTCTAATAATTCAATTATCCATCAAATTCTACTATTCTATTATTTTTCTACAACTATATTATTTTTATTTTTAATAATTCCTCTCAAATTAAATTAATTAAAATAAATTTAATTAATTTCTATCATTCCTTTAACTCTCTCAAATATCCACCAAAGCACATATATATTCACCAATTATCCAAATAAAATCATATACATCACTTATATATTTAAATAAACGCAACTAATTAAATTAAATTAATTAATTAAATTCGGAGTGTTACAACTCTCCCCTACTTATACAATTTTTGCCCTAAAAAATTACTTGAAGAAAACAGAGTCGAATACAACTCTCTCATCTGACTCTCCAGCTCACACGTTATTTCCATAAATAAATAAATAACCTATAAATATGAATTTATTACAATGAAAAATATCCAAAACCATTCCTATCTGATAAGGTGATGATATCTTACTTGACAATACAAACCCAACCCACCCTTGTTAATACTTTTTATAACGTTAAAGTTGAAACAAACTATGTGCTGAAAGACGCCAACTTTTAGGTTGGAAGTGTTTGGCACCATTAACAGTTGTCCTGAATCTCTGCCATGGTTCCGGTCGGTTACGGTTTCATCTTTGAATTTTTCACATCAAACCAACCAACCATTAATATTATTATTAACCAGGTGGTTTCTCTTCTCACCCTTCATTCAACAACCTCTTCTCATAACCATCCATTTTATGACGTTTCATATTTATCCTCCGTATTTTTGTCCTCTTCTTTCACTGTTACACTTTTTCTTCTTTTTCATGCATTAATATCTCTCTTTTGCATCTACTCCAGATTTCATTTTATTGCTTTTTTTTTTTACTCTCAAGAGTAAAAGTAATTTTTTCTGGATTTTACTTAATTTAGAAAGCTAGTTTGAAATACTACGTTTGGAACGTTGAGAATATGCTACCACTGCTACTCGTTTACCTATTTTCTTTGTGTGTACAAAATCTTTTTATTATGTGACGTTTGACAGTGAAACTAATTAAGGACATTTTTTGTACTTTGAAACTTGAAGCTATGAAAGTGATTTTTAACAAATTGAATTGAATTGAATTGGAATCAAATACTAGTTAAAGAATAACTTGTGGATTAAGTTATTACCCATCTAGTGCATAGCTTGCGTAGCATGGACACATATTTATTAGAGATTAGAGCTAAATGAATTTTTTTTTTTTTTTTTAATGAACTATTGTGGATTTTTTTAATATAATTATTTGTAAGAGATGAAAGAAAGGCTTTGAGAATTGAACTATCAATACAAGTTTTGTTTCTATGTACATAAAAATAATAAAAGCTTTGAGTTAGTGTAAAAGTAATTGGCTTTTTATGTACTGGTTACTGTGGATTTAAAATCGTTAATTTATAAATATCATTTATTTATTTACACTATTTAACTCAACCAATACAGTATTATATTTAAACCTAAAATATAAATACAAAATTGGTTATAAATTTTTTTATATAATATAGTGTATCAGATTGGTTTGCAAAATATCACATGATTTTTTTTTTTTTTTTATTTTAAATTTTTTTTTTTAATTTTCTTAATAATTTTTAAATAATTTATTCATCTAGTTAATTTTATATAATTAAATATTTTATTATTTACGACTATATTTTTTTTCAAAAATATAAAAAAAATGAAAATGACTGATTTTAAAATCAAGGATCAATTATATAAAAAATAAATAAAAGTAAGAGGTCAAAATTTTAACTAATACTCAAATTAAAATAAAACATCTATATAAAAAAAACACAAGAGTAAAATGTATATTTTTAATATATTGATACCAATATGGTATAAAAATATTTTCTTTATATTTTGAATTACACAACAAATAATTAAAAAAATTAAAAAATGAAACTATTTAATTTAATTTAAATATTCACAAAATTTAAGATATTAAAGTTGAAATGTAGTAAATTTACTTACATGGTATCCTAAGGTAAATTTGAATGAATGTTTATATTAAAATTTATATGAAAAAAATATTAATTATTTTATCCGTCTGAAAATAAGTGTTATATTTAAAAAAAATTTTTTAATAGTAGTGCATTATCAGTGAAAAAGTATTACACATGAATCCGATCAAAATATTTTAAAATGCCAAATCATATAAGTATTTTAAAATTTACAAGTTGATTTGGCGAGATAAATAGTTATTATTGGTTGACACTGTAAAAATAATATACATGGTCAATGCACCATCTTTTTTCTCTAAAAAATAATGAGAAATAAGAAAATGCATAGACAGTGTAAAATATTTTATACTATCAACCAATCATAATCATGTATCAGAAAAATATATATTTTTATTTTAAAAATACTATTATTACACGACAATTATGGACCTTTTGATTGATTCATTTGTAAAAATCTCTTACATGAAAAGTGCACTACCTTTAAACTCAAAAATATTTATCATTTAATTTTTCAATATAATGTTAATTTTATCTTTTAATTATATTTTATAATTAATATTCATAATTTATTATTTTATAAATTTTATTATTAATTCGAATACATCAATAATTTTTAATAATAACTTAATAAAATTACTATTCTTTCTTTTACTTATTATATATTCAAATATTAATTTGTTTCTTTCATTTAATTTTTTAATATGTGTGAAACTACTGATTTTGGAATAGAGTGAGTAATAAATAGCATTATCCTTTTCCTTGATTTGATACTTTAGTTCAGTGAACTGAAACTGTTCCCAGCGATCTTTTTGCACTTTTCGTTTCCCTACGCTATAAAACCTCACTTTCAAACACATTCATAACACACACAGAAACACCGAAAACAACCGGCGCACGCAATGGCTACCCACGCCTCATCTTTTTCCAGCCTCCGAACCTACCTCCGAGCCGTATCTCATACTCCTTCTCGCTTCGCTCGCCGCGGCTTCTCCGTCTCAACCTCACATGAAGAAATGAGCCGCGTACGAGCCAGGTCTGGCACCAGCATGCGGAAGACTCTCCGCTGGTTTGACCTAGTCGGTTTCGGTATCGGCGGAATGGTCGGCGCCGGAGTGTTTGTCACCACCGGTAACGCGACGCATAACTTCGCTGGTCCCGCTGTTGTCCTATCTTTCGCCATTGCCGGTTTCTGCGCTCTTTTATCCGCCTTTTGCTACACTGAGTTCGCCGTTGATATGCCGGTCGCCGGTGGAGCTTTTAGCTACCTCCGTGTCACATTCGGTAATTTCATTAGTTCCTTCTTTTTCACTTCACCTCTTCATCGTCATTCATTCTGTAAAATTTTTCAGTAATTTTTCAAAACTCACGTTAATGTCATTTTAAATTTTACAGGTGAATTTGCGGCGTTTTTAACCGGCGCGAATCTCGTCATGGATTACGTTATGTCCAATGCCGCCGTTGCTAGAGGATTCACGGCGTACGTCGGAACCACAATCGGTGTCTCATCCGCCAAATGGAGGATCATAATTCCTTCTTTTCCAAAAGGATTTAACGAAATAGACATGGTTGCTGTGGCCGTTGTTTTACTCATCACAATCGTTATCTGTTACAGGTTCATGATCATTGATCCATAATCGATTATTTAATTAAGCTTAATTTCTCTTTAATCACTAACGTTTTTTTTTCTTCTTCTGTCAATTTTTCAGTACGAGGGAGAGTTCAGTGGTGAATATGATATTGACAGCTTTGCATATATTGTTCATAGCATTTGTGATAGTGATAGGTTTTTGGAAAGGGAGTTGGAAGAATTTTACGCAACCGGCTAATCCGGAGAATCCGTCTGGTTTTTTTCCTCACGGTGCTGCCGGTGTCTTTAACGGTGCGGCCGCAGTTTATTTAAGCTACATTGGTTACGACGCGGTTTCGACAATGGCAGAAGAGGTTAAAGAGCCCGTGAAAGATATTCCAATAGGTGTTTCTGGATCTGTTATTATCGTGACGGTTCTTTATTGTCTTATGGCAGCTTCTATGTGCATGCTTCTTCCTTACGATATGGTAATTGAAAATTTGTCTTGTTTTCAATTATATACTTTTTGAAGCATTGACACTTCTGATACACATCAAATGGTGTTCGGTGTCATATATTTGTCTGTATATGTATCTGAGATATACATGACACTGACACGCAATTATATTTAATTTATTTATTTTTTAAATTTATAATTGACGTTGACGTGTCAGTGTCGAGTATGGTGTCTGAGAAGTTTTTAGCATGCTGTGATATTGATTTTGATAATATGTGTAGATTGATCCCGAGGCACCATTTTCAGCTGCTTTTAAATCAGACGGTTGGGGATGGGTTTCAAGAGTGATAGGAGTGGGGGCCAGTTTTGGAATATTGACATCATTGATAGTGGCTATGTTGGGTCAGGCTCGTTATATGTGTGTAATAGGACGTTCTAATGTGGTCCCTGCTTGGTTTGCTAAGGTCCACCCAAAAACATCTACTCCTGTCAACGCCTCTGCTTTTCTTGGTATGTTCCAATGTGCTTTTTTCTCTTGTTATCTATGATAATAGTGATTGATATCAATGCATTGTATAAAGGTTTTCATTTGGTTGTTGTGTTTTTAGTTTCTTGGTAACTTGTGTGGATTGTGTGAAATAATGCTGTTAGGATCATTAGTGTTTTCTGAATGGTTTTTCACCATCCTTCAGAAAGGCATGGGACCCACTTCAACAATATAGTCTCTGGCTCAGATTTTTTCAGGGGATTTGTGTGGCTTTTCTGTTGGATTGTGATAAGATTTTATGTTTCCTCATTAATATATCTTAATTGGTGCAGATGAATTATATTGAATGTCATTTGTATTGACGGTAAAATTGACAATGACCTCTATTATATTATGTCGTAAAATTGACACAATCTTGATGACCTATATCATATCGGGTCATAAAATTGATTGACATAATAGTGAATTTAAAATCAGACTAAATCAGACTAACATATATCATGTCATCAAATCGATAGAATCATGAATTATATTAAATGTCATTTTATATTGACGGTAAACTGGCCAGAATCACAATGACCTATATTAGGTCGCAGAATTGTCAAAATCGTAGTAAGCTTCTAATATGTTGCGGTACACAAAATGTGGCGGGATTTTTTAGACTCAACTAAAGTTAGTATAATGGAGCTTTAACATTTATCAAGAAAAGGTGGCTAAAAGAGAAGTGCTTTTAAGAGTCAAATAAGCTACTTTTTCACATGGATAATTGTGAAAAACTGTAGTTGCCATAGAATAGAATTATTTTTATTGGAAGTGAAACTGGGTAACGCACTTCAAAACAGTGGTCAAGTAGAAAACGTTATCATTTCACATAGTGTCAGAACCCTCTCCAGCTCAGTACAAAAACAACTGTGTTAAGCATGTTGCTGTAAATTATTCACTGATTGTGACATGTTATTTTCTTTTTCATAGGAGAATAATAATAAACCATTTGAGGTGGAAGATAAAGATATTGGTACTAGTTTTTAATCTTAAATTGATTCTATACCTTCAGATTTATTCCTCTTTTTTAGAATCATTGACGAATGATTTTGACCTGACCTGACCTTACCTCTTTGATGTGTAGTACTATCTACTTAAAGTTACCTCAATCATGGACTTTGATTTCAATGATTTTATGCTATGTTATGCATTTTGAGTTTTGACCTTTCACATTCTACTGTTATGAGTGGTTGCATTATTGTGCTTTTTTATGATGGTAACATTTTTCTCTATCAGGGATATTCACAGCAGCCATTGCACTTTTCACTGATCTTGAAGTTCTTCTCAACCTCGTATCAATTGGAACACTCTTTGTTTTCTACATGGTCGCAAACGCCGTTGTTTACCGACGCTATGTCGCTGCAGGGACAACAAATCCATGGCCGACACTGTCTTTTCTCTTATCATTCTCATTCACTTGCATTGTGTTCACCCTTATTTGGAAAATCGTACCAACTGGAGTAGCAAAAGCCGCGATGTTAATTGCTTGCGGCGTGTTTGCTGTAGCAATATTACAGTTTTTCCATTTCACAGTTCCTCAAGCTAGGAAGCCGGAGTTTTGGGGTGTACCTCTAATGCCATGGATACCTGCTATGTCAATATTTTTGAACTTGTTTTTGCTTGGATCACTCGATGGAAAATCGTATATTCGGTTCGGAGTATTTACGGCTGTTACAGTGCTGTTCTATGTGTTATACAGTGTTCATGCTAGCTTTGATGCAGAAGGTGATGGTTCTCAAAATGTTGAATCAAAAGAAAGTGTGGACCAAAGTTTCAAAGTGTAGTTGAATTGTATCATATATAATTTAATTATTATTTATATTATTATTAGTATTATTATATGTTTATGAATTTTAATTCAAATTGACTTAACCTTTTTGGGTGGTTAATGTTCACTAAGAACAAGTGGGAAGAAGAATTATGTGAGATGAATATTAAATTTATTAGAATATTAGCATAGGCTGCAAAGTTCATAGAAGTGGCGAATTGTATAGTTAAAAGGCAGCTTAGGTGATTATCTCTTTTGTAAATTCTTTGGTTCATGTCATCATTCCAAAGAAAAGAAATCTTTGCATATCTTATGAACAATCTCTCTAACACCTCAACTTATAAAGAATATGGAATAGATTATCTCTGATCCGTTATACTTTGTTTATACGATTTAACTGTGACAAATTTTATATCTTATAGTATCAATTTATTTCGTATTATAACTTCTAAATGCTAGTTTGAAAGAACATGGAATTTCCATGTGCAATCTATTTATTCAAAAACAACATTGTGCCACATTGAATGCAAGTTGTGAATTAGATTTTTGTGTGATCTTCTTCACCATGATTAAAGATGTAAATGGTATCTTAATAATCCTAATAGTGGAGAAAAGATTTGTGCTAGATGAAAACAAGTTGTGATGGTAGATTATGTAATCCTCATTAGCATGATTAAGGGTGTAAATGGTATCATATCATCATAATCTCAATAATTGCATTTGGAATTTATATAAAGGACCATTATGCTAGGCCATGTGGTCTATTTTAAGTTATAAAAAAAAATGTAATTAATATAACACAAAGTGGACTTGATGTCATTCTTAAAGAAGAAATATATTTAAAGGGATATAGTTCTATTTAATAATTGATGTTGATTCATTCATCATTAGTAGCATGCATTGTGAAAATTGAAATTTAACAAGAAATTATGAAAATTGAAATTTTGGAATTTATAAACATGAATTATGTTTATCACATATTGTGTAGTCACATCTTGTATGTAATGGCAAACAATTATAAATTATTAGTTATGATTTGTCATTTTATTTTCCCACTAATATTCGACTATTTAGACCGATTAATTTGATTTGAAAGTCAATTTTAATATTAAGTAGTTTCAATTTTTTTCGATTACAATTTCAAAAAATCAAATATAATATTAAATAGTTTCAGTTTTTTTCAATCACAGTTTCAAAAAATCAAAACGTATTTTCTTCTATCAAATTTAACATTAATGACGGCTGGACAAAACATCGTACTTTCTTTGATAATTTGGAATTTAACACTAAAAGAAAGAAAATCCCACTAAAATATTTGTATAACTTTTTCTTGGGAAAACTTGATTATTTTATGCAAAATATAATTATTTGACATAATAATAGATTAAAGGAAAAAAATGGAAACTTTTTCAATCACTAATGAGATGTGACTCCTTCCATTAGTGTCAAGATTTTTCAATTATATCAATTTGTGCTGTAAACCAGAATCTTGAGAACGAACAGAAAGTAAGTTGAATGAAAATTGCATACATATCATTAACAATTTTAACATGATTAGCTATTGCCACTGGTTGTTTCATTCACCAAATGATCCACTAATCTTTCTGTCCAATTATTCGAATTAGCATTTAATTAATTTTTAAATATGAAACTATCATCACAAAGTGAATGATTCTTCCAAATTTGGTCATGGTCAACTTAAATATTAAGTTTACTATTATTGACTTAACGACCAATTTATATTTAAATATATATGTACAGAAAAAGAAAAGTATCATGATTTGAATTTAAATTTTAGATATATATTCTCCTTTTGAAAATAAATTGAGTCAAGTTAAATTTTTCTCAATTTGATTCGATTTATTAAAAATTAATTCGGCTCAAGTCTTGATTTGGATTGTTACAAATATTTTTTTAAATTAAAATTCAACTTGTTATAAGTTTACAAATAATTTGGTTCATTTTGATAGTTTCAACTCAATTGTTTTACCGATTTAAAAAATATTTTTTAAAATCTAACTTTTTATATATTTCATATTTAAATTAATATATTTTTTAAAATATTAAAATATAATAAAACTGATAAGATTAGTAAATATTGCATATTTAAATCCATGAGTCTAAATTAATTAAAAATAAATATAAAAGGCATATTTTTTAAAGATAGTTTAAATTAAATTAAAGATATATGTTTTTTTTTATTTTAAGATATTTTTATATGATGTAGATTTTCTTAGAAAATATTTTTTAAATTTAAATAAATTTAGAAAATATATTTAATTTTCTTAAATTTAAAGAAATTTAAAAGATATTTTTTAAATAAAAAATATATGTTTATTTTTTAAATTATTCTCTTAAAAAAATATAATTTATATGATGTTGATTTTATTTGTATAATTATATTTATAAATATTTTGTTCACTTGAAAATATAAATCATGCTAATATTTGAAATGCATCTTTAAACTTATTTTAAAGCAATATAATTCTTCTCTTATATAATTGAGTTGACTCATAAATCTAACGAGTCAAACTATATAGTTCAAGTTTAACTCATTTAGCTAACAGACTTAGTCTTTTGTTTATATTCAGTTCATTTGATTCATAAACATAATTCAATGATTTAATTGTTAAATCAAGTTCAAAACTATATTTAAATTAGTTCGATTCATTGTCATCCCTATTTATAAACATTTAAATAAGATGACAATAAATATATTCTAATTTAATTAAAGATACTGAGTTCAAACTCAACCATACGCATACAACCGTGTTAAATTCTCTTGATGGAGATCTTTGATGTCCATTGCGATTCTCCTCAACTTAAAACATTAATATCGATATTGCGTAAAAAATACTCAATTTCTAAAAATTTGAGATGACTATCATTCGATTAATAATTCTAAGTGTAAAAGATACTCATAGAGGTTTATAATATGAAAAAAATAAAAGTGTAAATGTAACAAAAAAATCTAGAAAATCATGAGCACAAGAGAACCACACCTTATTTAAGTACTAGTTGGTAAGTTGTATGATAGTGTTGTCTAAGAAACAAAGTAGGTATAAGGACAAAATAACATGGGCCAATATGTTGGTATCATGTTTTTCTTTTGTACACTAATTGAGAACTCTCTTTGTCTCCTACACCATTTGTTTTGTCTCTCCCATTTTGTTCCATTTTTTATCCTATTTTTACTTTTTCATCTTTCCATGGCCCCATCTTTGGCCGGTGGCATCTTTTATTTTTGAAGCCACATTCATGTCTGCTATTCCATCACACTGTTACTCCAACCATCAAAAGGAACACTTAGGGATAATTCCAAGTTAGGATCATATTAATTAATGGAACTAAACTGTTGCTTGTGGAGTAATCCACATCAATTTTCCATTCATGTTGTCAACTATTGGAAGAGATCAAGAGACTTTTTTCTTCTTGATTTGAGAACTATTAGTCATGGGTTTGGGAAGATATAAAGACTCTCATCTTTGTTTCTTTCTTCCTTTTTCTTTTTCAATTCATATGTCAAGTGTCAACATTTTTCATTAATCAAAAGTTGTTATTTTAAAGTTTAAATATAAATACCACTATTTAGCTCTTAATTAATTTTGATTAAAGTTGAGTTAAATGTAATTTATGTTTTTACTTTTCATATAAAATTGAATTTACAATAAATTCAAATTAACAAAATTAATGAACATTCAAATTATTTTTTCAATTTATAACTAATTAGGGAGACAGAATAAATTTTATTTAAGAAAATTCAAATATGTTAAATTCAATTTAACATGTCTAAACACCAATTTTTTTTCTCTTCAGAAAATTTAAATTAAACATAACTGATGTTATAAAGTTGACCGATGAAAATTGAATTTTAAATTTGAATGTAAAAATTATTATGAAAGTAATAACTATTAATTTTAACTTTAAATTAGAATCGTTGTTATTTTTTGTATTTGTTTTTATAATAAAAGGAGTGTTATAAGAAAGTTAGAACTAAGATGAAACAAAAGTGTTTGAATAGTCTTCATCTACTTAAAAGAAAATCTCTTAAGATTAAAACCTAACAAAAACAAGATCATTACTATTTTGGTGCGGAATACTAGATCGGTAAAGTCTATTGTAGAAGGTTCTCGACACGATGAATGTCTCCAATAGTTGAAGTGGGGGGTGTACCTATAAAATTAACACTTAAATGCTCAAGTCAGCAAATTTAAAAAGATAGAGTTTGCAAGTAAATATTAAGAATCACGCTTATATAAGAATGAAAAATAGAATTGTCCACGGTGGACGCAACGCCAAGCGCGATTGACCATATGATGAACCCCAATGGTTGATATGGGATGATTTCTTGTTTCAATGTCATGCTCCCCAGCGAGATTACATTTGCTTGCGAGCTTGATTAAGTGTGAAATTTAGATTAGGGCTCCGAGTTTGGATGATTTTATTTGGTCGCTTGTATAACCACGACCAGTTGCCTCAAGTCCTCGTTATCAGTCATGAAGCCATGATTTGTGTTATGGAAGTGTTAAGACTGACCTCAATATGGGCTTCGTTCTAGAAGTGTGGGATCTGTTGGAAGAGCTATCCAAGCGAAATGAGGTTCTATTAAGAAGATGAATGAGAGTTGGCAATCTCGGGAACATGCACATTAAATGTTTATCTCTTTAATTGACTTCAAGTATATTTCTCAAAGGTTCTCCTTCCTAGCCTCGGGCTTGCCAACTCGGAGTATATATTGACTTTATGAATCAGAATAAAGATGATGAGTGAATTTTGTATCATTATTTCTAATCATTTTCACTTAACATTTCATCGCATTTTGATCATTTTACTTCCGTTTGCCATGTTTTATGCTTTGGTTGTGTGTTCTTGCTATTTGCAGGGCCTAATGAGCATTCGAGACAAAAAGGGATAAAAATAAGCATAATAAGGAAAAAAAGGTCAAAAGTCAAATTTTCTCCATACAAAACCCAGGGGGTTACTATGACCACCCACAACAGCTGTTACGGGTCGTAG